ACTGGACTTATACGAATTTCAGTCCAGTCCAGTCCAGTAACTCGTGAGAGACTGGAATAAGTCCAATGACAACCCTGGTCATTTATTATTTGTCTTCTGACATTTCTTATCGTAGAATCATATAGATACCGTCCAACCTATCTTCCCGTGAAAAAGATAGGTTAGACGTTATCCATATGATTTTACAATAAGAATATGTTAAAAGACAAATAGTAAACGATGTACTTCGTAGTGAATCAAAATGCTCTAATTTCATAAATTCGCCGTGATGGTTATGTATGTAGAAATGTTGACCATATGACTGATAAATTATGGAAATATCAAAAAATATCAATTGTTTAGCCAACTTTAATCTTCAGCCGCAATAATGTTACGCTAAACGTAAATAAATGTATGTAGTACATTACATTTTCTCAAATTCCCACGTATCAATCATCTGCCAAAAATTTTCGATCATATGTATAATTTTATGTTTACTGCTTAACACAATCATACACAAAACAATGCCACCAAACGCGAGAAAAGGGTATAATTTATATGTATAGATTAGAGTCGGGTCCCGAAACCTATTTTCTCAGATCGAAAGGTTTAGGGTTTCGGTTATAAGTTGCTAAAATCCCAAACTGTTGCCGAAATCCAAAACTTTGCTGAAATCCAAAACCGGTACAGGAAACCCAAACTAGTACCTAAATTAAACTAGCATGGTTTTCCCGAAACTTAAACCAATACTTAAATCCAAACCAGTGCCGAAATCCCGAATCAATAAGCCAATACTGAAGTTTAATATTAAAATCTATACTAAAATATATATTATATGAGTTAGCATATATAAAAATTTGTTTGGAATTTGGCATCATTTTTGAATTTCAGCACCAGTTTGGGATTTCGGTATAAGTTTGAGATTTCGGTATAAGTTTGAGATTTCGGTATCAGTTTGGGATTTCAGCATTGGTTTGAGATTTCAGCATTAGTTTTGGTTTTGGTTTTCAGTTTAGGATTTAGGCAAAAATTGTTGTGTACAAAATTAGCTAATATTATAGCCTAAATATAAAGGGTTTAGGAAGGTTTGGGTTTCGGGACCCATCTCTAGTATATATATAGATATATTTCTTTTTTGAGTTAATTGCACAAGATCTTGTAATATAGTTCAACACGTGGCATTATTACGTTCTAACTGTTCTAACGATGGCCACGTGATACCTTATACGTACATACATGCGTACGTACGTATTATAGTTCTCTTTTTAAAAAAAGTATGTATATATATATATACATGAATCATAATGATCATGAAGTCAGAATTTCGAAAAGTTACTTGAATAAAAAGAGTTTATTATATTACGCTTTTTTTACGTGATGTGTTTTGTGTATAAAATTCAGAATTACATAGATATATATAAATATATATATATAAGTACGTATGTTTGCTTGCTTGTTTCATGAAATTTTTCAATTATCAAAATTAAGGCTTTTTAAAAGATGACAGATCATTTAAAAGAAACTAATTATATTGACCTTACACAACCATCGAATTTAAATGAATTAAACTATGAAAAAGAAAATGAAAAAAAATTCGAATTTTTTAAAAGTTTTAATACTCATGTTGACGAATGTATTAATCTTATAGATGACATTGATGAAAAACAGGAAGATGAAATTAGAGGCGATTCTCATTTTGGTGTAAATATTATTTAACACTTATTTAGCACGTGATTTTATAATTATGATCGAGTTATTTATATGTATTATTTTATTTATATATATCCATGTACGTATATATATATATATATATCTTTCTTTATATGAAGAATGATATTGGCTTTTGTGGCTTAACGCCAACTGGAAATGTCGGTTCATCGACAGAGATCAAAAAGCAAGTAAGTTGTCTTAAAGATGAAATTCACGACAATGACTTTTCATTAACATCCGGCAAATCATCAAATGTAAGTATATAGATATAATATAACGATAACGATATATATAATATATGTAATACGTATAATATATATATATTCTGTTTATATATCTATATATATATATTTATTATAATGATATATGTATAAAAATAATTTACATAGGAGTGCATGAGAGTGAAAACACGTAACCAATCATAATAAATCATTAAATGTATTTCCTCACGCACTCATATATATATATTCATAAAAATAATTTACATATATATATCATATAAAAAAAACAATTTATATATATATATTCATATAAAAAACAATTTATATTTTACATTTTTAGATAATTCGAAAAGACATAAAGAAATCATTTGATGAAAGTGAAAGTGAACTTGATGAAGGATTTTTTTCTAAACTTTCTTTTGGGCCATCAAAAAGATTAAAATTTTTAAAAAATGATGATGATGATGATGATGATGATGATGAAGTTAAAGATTTCAAGAATGAAAAAAATCTTAAAACTAATGAAATTGTTAACAAAAAACGAAAGAAAAAACCTAGTAAAGTTATTCCTTGGACAAAAGCTGAGGAAGGACAACTTATGCAAGCAATAGAAACTCATGGAACTAAATGGAGTGTAGTAAGAGAAGCAATGGGGTGTAAACGCGCCGCTTATTGCTATCAAAGTCATTGGAACGTAATGAAGAAAAGATTGTAATAAAAGAATTATATATAATTGACCCTCTTAAAATGAGAGGGATATAATAAATTTTTTATGCGATTCATTAACAAAAAAAAAAAATAATAAATGGTAAAAATGTACAAATGTGATAATATTATCTAAAATTACATTTGAAATAAATTTTTTTTATAAAATTTGTTAAGCCGGGTTTGCCGGTTTTTCCGACTTTTCCGACTGTTTTCCTTTTCCCACATTTTTAAACTTTGAACCCATATTACCTATATTACTATAATGTGGAGCTCTTCCCTGTGGATAAAACTTCTCAGTTCTAAATCTATGTTGGAAGAAAGCACCAATAATAAATAAGACAACCATAGCTCCCAACATAATATAAATTTTAGTATTTGTATCATAAGGTGGAATATCAAGATTTCCATTTAAAAAGCTAACAACGGATTGTGAAAATCCTGTACGAACAAACATATCAACACCAAGGATTATAGCATACGCGCCTATAAAGGCTGTTGCCACTATAATGATCGTATCAATGAAGAAGCACGTGAGAAGTAACCCAATAAGTACGCAAACTACAATGAAAATGATCCTTCCAGTAGATGAATGTATTACACCGCCAGGTGCCCACGCAAGGATAAATAAGGCAAATAAATAACCAGCAAGTGCGCCTAATAACCAGATTGCGATTTCTGCACAACAAATGAACAACAGACCAAGAAATAAACCTGCTGCGAGGGAAACGAGTAAAATAATCGTTGGGCTGTTTGCTCCACTAAATCCATTGGGTGGTTCATTGTTAGTGAGTGCCATCCACATAGCAATGGCTATTTTAATATTAATAATAATAATAATTAGAATAAGAATTAACGTTAAAATAACAACTAGAATAAAACTAAACATACCTCCTATATAAAATCCAATCAAGAATAACGTAAGATAGTATACTCTTCTTCCGAAGAAGCAATAAATACATCCAGTAACGATAAGAATGATACCCACAACGATTTCATGAGGTGTAAGTTCACCTGAACTCTGAGCGACAGTAGTTGTCGGGTTAGTAATGTTAGGGTTAGAAATGTCTGGAAGACCAGGAATATCGGCGGGTAATGCATTGACTACATTGATAATTGAAGAAAATATTCCAAATAAGAAGACCAAAAGTAATATAAGAAATGAACACTTTGGCGCGGGAAAATTATTATATTTGTACATTTTTTTTTTTTTAAAGAAAAAAAGCTAATGTGAAATACTAGACAAAGTGGATCGTTATATAATTTTGCTTAAAGGTTAAATCAGGTGATAAAAAGTTGTGGTAGCCACTAACTCTGTCGGAAAATAAAAAAAATCAGCCGCACATATATATAGTACATACAAAAAACATTGCCAAGCTGTGACACAATAGCATCACAATTACATATGATGGATTTTTCTTTTCTATATTCGATCGATAAATATATGTATATAAAGGGTTAGTTAAGGTTAGAAGGTATTTTCCATTTTCCATATATAATCTTTTATAAATAGTTCTGAACTAATTAATATTTGGCTAAATAATTAATTCTTGGCCAAAAAAAACCACAAATTTTTATTTCATTTTGAAAAATTTCTACATATGAATTTTTAATGAGATTTTCATTTTACGTCATACGATTATGTTTAATAAAAAAAAATACCAAGAATTTATTTAAGTTGCTTGAGTTACTTACTTGAGTTACTTACTTGAGTTGCTTACTTGAGCTACTTGGCTGAATTCATACAAATGAATCAAATTTTTTACTTTTTTGGTTAATTACTAAAAATATTATTTCTTTAAAATTGATTGGCGAAGGAAGGTAAATACAATAATATTATGATTTTTACGAGTGTAAATAAAATAATATTATGATTTTATGAGTGTAAATAATAATTTCGTGATACTTTCCTCATTTAAATCTTATTTATTTAAATCTTAAGTTTCTTGCCGTAATCACTGTGAGTTTCACTGTGATTTGGTCTGGTATTTTATATACTTGTTTATTTGTTGAGGAATTATAACTAATTTACATAACAGATAAGTACTTATGTATGTACCATACATTTACATATCAATATTAATTGGTATACATGTAACTAGGAGAAAATTAGGACATAAGTTACCATAGAAAATTTGAAATGATTTAAGCTACGTGATGATTATAAGTTACAATTGTTTATACGTACGTATGAGCATAATATTATTACACTTTTTGTCAGTACGTACCGATATGTGTTAATTAAACATAGAGTCAAGTGTCCAGCTTATTGTTATTGTTACATCTCATTGTCAAAAACGATGTGAAATTAATTATCACATGGTGCTTCCAATGGGAAGTTTCTATAGCAAAAGTTTCCGGTGGTACCGCATATTAATTAATTTTGATTCCCATTGATTTCCAGTGACAAAATTGGCTAACGACATTACGTATTCAAACTGTTTAAAGTTTAGACCATCCCAAACAGTTTGGATAATATTCTACGTACAAGGTTCTTTTTCATACGCTTACCATAAAATTATTTCTCTTCTAGAGTTGTGTAACTGACGATAAAGATGAAACAGTTATTAATCTTGTTCATAAAGACTGGTGAACATCATTCTGCCAGAATGTTGTTCCGCAAGGTCACAATCTCTAACCAAACTTATTACATGAACAACAGAAAGAACATTTGATGAGCAAATGCTCGATCTGAAATAGATGATTGCGGTTGTGATTATAGCGAAAAGCGGTCATATAATATGTTTATTATATGGATAAAATAATTCTTAAAATGCTTTTAAAGTATCACAACATCCGATGATACTATGTAGACACCTTACAATATACACAACAGATAAATTCTGTAAAACTACAATAAGTATTGTAGTAAGGTGACGTCATTAATTAAATTTTAATCGTCATCAAACATGTAGATCGATCATGAATAACTTATTAAGCTTTTTTGGGAAAATTTTAAAAATATAAAATAATTAAGCGACTAACCAAACATAAGTTTGTTGGTTTTTCTAATCTTCTAGAATATACTAAAAATAAATCTCGGTTTTTTTTAAATACCTAAAATAAATAAACAATAACGTATCATTAAAAGTGGCTTGATAAGACGCAATTCCCGCGATTAACGCGCCAAGCGGGTAATTTATAATGCCAAGGCAGCGTATCTGTATAAAAAATATCCAAATTTAGAGATGTATCAAAGCTTGGGTAGTTTAATATAAGTACTTTGATGGATAAGTTCATCAACAGATTCTAAATTTAGAAATTTTGATAATCGAAACTTATGATAGATTTTAACAAAATTAGTATAAGCCATATTGATGTCGTAATAGCATGTTTGACATTTTGACCATTCTAAAATTGACATGTAAAAAAAATGTCGCCTGATTTTTAAGTGTAACAAACTGTTTGAGATGATATTCGAAGCCATGTGAGCACTGCCTTTAGTGTTAGCGTTAATATTCTCACTAATAATATTCATATCCCCCCTCCGGATAATTCCCGTAACTCAAACATTTAAGAATATTTAAGTGTATTTTAAGGATGCTAAAAGTAATTCAATAAATTATATACAGATATGTACTATAGTATTGTAGTAAATTCATTCGTATCGGTATATTTCTATATAATTGATGATGATAAATATAAACAAAAAAAATTCTAGCAATACGTAGTAGGTTAGCGTTAGACAAGTCTGGACAACATATATAACACATCGTCCATGGATCTAAAAACCGATACTATCTACGTACATATAAGGATAGGCTAATTTACATGATAGTAGGCGTGGTACACGCGCGCTGTTAGTCTATTAAGCCACATGATTTTTAGTCAACCGCTAAGCCTGCTTACTAGACTAACGCTAAGCAGCTTACTAACTACTTTTTTTCATAGTGTAAATGGTTATACCGGTTTATAAATTCTCAATTATAGCATTCTGACTGTACTAGTACACGATAAAATGTCTTATCGTTTATTTATGTTGTTGGAAACGGAATTTAAGTAGATTCGAAATTTTTATATAAAACCCGCATTTTGGGGTTGATTTTGTCATATATTCACCCTAACCCCAATTTAAATAGAAAATTCCAAATCCTATTCCCGTTTCGACATTTTTTATACGACAAAAATTACTGTAGCCACCTGATATAATATTGAGACTTTCGTATGATTGGCTATTAATTTCAATTGAATTTACATTATTGGACATCCCAAATTATGTGATGAATAATATTGCATGAGTTATTTACCTCCTTATTGTTATTATGATGCTATTCATCACATAGTTTGGGGCGTACGGGTAACATCGCTAGTTTTATTAGAGTCGTAGGACTCTTCTATTGTTAAAAAGTATCTTATATATTTTTAAAAAAGTTATTAATAACTTTTATTTTATCCATCTTTGAGAAGTCGCTACTACGCTAACTTTTTTAATAAGATAAGTTAAAGATACTTTTTAACAATAGGGTCCCACAACTCTAATAAAACATCCTATACATGTCGTTTTATTTTATTGTGTGTTTTGTTTTTTGTAAAAGTACCTTAAACTGTATAAATACAGTATAATGTAAAATTTAATTGCCAATAATACGAAAGTTTCACTATGAAACCTAATACTAAAAATCTAATTCTAATCTGCATACATACAAATTTTTCAAGTTGTTAAAAATTACCGTTACGATTTTTAATCTCATATCTCATATCTCTGTGTAACACAGATCAAGATTTCATCTTTATTCGTTAATTAAAAAAAATTAACAAAAAGCCTCATTAATCATAACAAATACATTAAACATGTATCGGTATATCAAAGGTTTAATCTCTTTCTCTTCTTCAACAAAACGAGTAACTTTAAAATACATCTATCATTTAAATCAAGGAAAGCAATGTTTTTCAACTAAAACTCGATCAAATCCATCAAATACTTTGCAAAAAAACTTCAACACCAATTTAATTAATTACAATTGTAAATGTTTGGAATGTAGTATCCCATCATTCAAAGAGAATAGTTCATATGTTTACAATAAGGACAAACAAAATTTGATTCTTCAAGTATGTAAGAAAATTTTATGTGGTATTCAAATGGAACATAATCGAGCTGAATTACTTTATGATCGAAAACCAATGCCACACAATCAAATTTCTAATTATCAAGATGTAAAAAATCATATTAATCAAGAATTCAAAGATCTAATTAATTCTAATAAAATCTTTTACGAAAAATATGATGGAACTGCAAAGAGACCAAATAAATTAATATTTCATTGGACTCATTATATAGAAGAATTACTTGGAAAATTATTTCAAATTTCATCAAAATGGTATCTACCATTCACTGAATATTTACGTTACCGACACAAGGAACAAATATACAAATGGTCAATACATAATGATGTTAGTGTTCAAGAACATCGTTTAAAATCTCTACTTCTCAAAAATTTATCAACATATCTTCCAGGATTTAAATATCTTTATAGTTTTGAGTGGAATTATGTTCTTAACAAACGACTTTATGGTCAAGGTGATTTTATATTTGCTTCGGATTTTGGTGTATTTTGTGTGGTTGAAGTTAAACATTTGAAAACAATTACCGGATCTAATGCACGAAGAGCCAGGAATATGGCCAGAAAAGTTGTTGGTTTACAGGCATTAAAATATAAAATGTTTGCTTTAAAAAAATATGAAAACCAACAATTAACTGTTATTAGTGCTATTTTTATTAATGGTTTAAGCTATCATAAAAATAAGAATGATGTTCATCTTATATTTGTTAATGACATTGATAAAAAAATCGCGCAAGTTATTGAAAGAAAATATAAAAAAGAATTGAAAAAATTAGAAACAGGTAATTTTTTAAATATATATAATATATTTTTTAAGAAAAATTTTTTTAAAAAAACCAATTTGAATAACCAAAAAAATTTATATACTAGGCTATTGTGTTTATTGTTATGGTGCAAGTTTAGGTCTTATAGGTATAATTATATTTTTTTTTATATTTAAACAATTATAAATAAAGAATTAATATATTTGTAGCAACTGTTTTTTTTAAAATAGTAAATTATTTTTTAAAATATATGTATAGTTTATAAATAAGTTAACAAATAAGTTAACTATATACTGTATATAAAATTTAAATATTACAAACTTAGAATATACCAATTTGATATAGCTGTTAAGTTGTTATCTTCCAAGCTAACAGATCTAGAACTTGAATTCTACTAATAATATTTCAAAAAACTATCTATATTATAACTTTTGTTAATTTAGTATGGTAGTTTAAGCTGAAATTTACTTAAGATTTTAATTTATTTTAATATTAAATTTAAAAAATTTTAAAGTCTTTTTTTTTAGAATTAGGTTAAGGTTTAAAGATAGTTTCATTAATAAAAAAAATATAGATAAATTTTAATAGTAATATCCTGATTCGTTGGGAATTTCGTTTCCGCTAATTCACATACGTTAATCCTCCGTGATCTTGATATAGTGATCGTGTGGATTATACAATTCATGTATTCAATTGGGTAAGTCGCACCTTCCAAAGACAAATAAAGTTAAAAATTTTTTATATGTAATAAATCTCATTAAGAAAATATTCTTTTGCATGCAATAAAAAGGAACCAAACTGCTTTTGGAGATTTTGTAAGATTCGGATAAACTTCGGCATTGAAAATCGATTGGCATAAAAAATTTTTTGAGACTTGAACATCATCCGAAATTATTAACCAATAAACACCAAATTTCCGATCACAATCAAACTTGATTAGCTTAAAATCATATTTTTTGGTTTCTTTTTACTACAAAGGCCCTTGCACTTCATACCGGTTTTTAATTGTATTTTGATTTAGCTAATAATTATAACGATCTGATTTTAATTAGTGTTTCATTGATGATTTTGTCGGTCATGCTAGAAGGATTAAGTGTACCGATTATATATAAATAATTTCTTTTTTTGAAGTAAAATCAAGTGTAGTCTAGTTCAAGTTTAGTGATTCGAATTGTTCAAGTCAAGTCCGTATAACACGGATTACACAAAATATTAATCTGCAATCCGTAGACGGGAGTGACCGTTCAAATTTGTAAATGATTCTAATTGTCTGAAGCGAAGCGATAGACTTATACTTATATGCCCTTTGATAACTGAAAATTCATTTATTTATAATAAAAATATCAAAAAAGTAGGTTTGGCATTTTTCGGATATAACGCCACCTTTTTATATAGTAAAGTCAAAATGTTACTAAGTAAATCGATTATATTCTATTAAGTAAAGTTGTTCAAGAGATCAAAATACACATACTCCGAAATTTTTATACAAATCAGGTAATTTTTTACTAATAGGGCTTTTGCATTTTATGTTCAAAAAATCAATTAAATTTTTTTTATAAATTTATATTTAGAAACTGTAAAAAGTAAATATCAAATAAATAAAAAAATTATCGTAATTGCATAAATTTTTAGGGTTAATAGCATATAATCGATTTACTTAGTAAAAGTTTGATTTTGATATATTGTACTTAATTAATTATATTAAAAATAAACCTTTATTTGAATTATTCAAAAAATGACTTATTTTTAGAAATATATAATAACTATGCTTCAGACTTATACTGATTTCCAGTTCCTAGTATAGTTACACGATTGATAATTGTCTGAAGCGAAGCGACAAACTCATACTTCTACACCCTTTAATACCAAAATTACGTTTTTGATACATTTATAGTAAAAATATCAAAAACATAGGTTTGGTATTTTCTGATGTAACGCCCCTGAAAAATTTGATCTACGACATACATAACATACTTTTCAGGGGCTGGAGCGAGATGCCGTTTCCGGTTCCTAGTAATACTACTAGAAAACGAAAGAAAGCTTCGCTTAAAAAAGCCTACAAACAAATACATACAATAGAATTTATCATATAAAGTTGGAGAACAGATAGGTATGCGATAAATGTGATATTTATTATTGATAAATCCGAAGCCATTAAAGTGTTAATACGTGAATAATTTAAATTATTAGCGAAGCCATCTTTATTCTTTATTTGGGCTAGGTGCTGAAATTGACAAAAAAAAAAAAGATCTTCGAAAAGTCAATTTTTATGTTATATATCTTATAATAAATTATAAGAAAATGCAAACTTTAAGAGCTATACTGCAAAATTTTATTATTACAACTACTTTTATGTCTTAAATAAAAAATGATTCTAATCTTATTCTAAATTGATTTATATAAAAAAAGGTATTTGAAAAAATTGTCAATTTCGTTCCTTTTTACAGCACTTAGTCCATTTATTATCTTTTGAAAAAGTTAAAATAATTCAATCTTATTTTATCATCATGACTTTATTATGGATACAACATGACCTTTAGCTCATGTAATTAATGAAACAATAATACTCATATACATATTATCGACCTACTACTTAATCCGAAGTCACTAATGTTTTAATTTTAATATTCAGTATACGTAAAATAAAAGCATTAATATAAGCTTTTTGTTATTATAATAGCCATGTTAAACGGTATACACAAAGTTCTTTAGGTTTAGATCTTACACGTATCGTCTCAATCTTCCTTTTTTTTTTTTGTTGACTGTTTCCAGCATTTAAAGCTTACGTATAATTAATATGACTAGTACTTTAATAAATGAGTAGTAAAATATTTTGCCAAGTGAATTTCATTCTAACATGTCAGTCATTTAAAACATTTGCACATACTTTACAATTATAACCAATAATAATGAAAATTAAGATTCAAATATTCGAAAGCACTTATTTTTACATTGTTGATAAACAAATCAAAGAAATCAACAGAGTTTTATTCTTTCACCAAAATCACTATTTCTTAAAAAATATTTAATTTCATGAATAAAATTACAGTCTCAAGGTGAGTTTTTGAAATTTTAGAGAGGATGTAAACGACTACCCATGGCAAATTTGAACAGGCATTCTCATTATATTCATTAGTATTGATCATAATCAAGATCTCTACTCCAAAACTAAGAAAACAATTTTAGGGTCAAAAAAAATAGAAACATACATGAGGACTCTATGCAATATCATTATAATTATAATCTTGATTTCACTCTTGCAACTGTCGCAGTAATCAATCCTATCACAATTAAAAAAATTTATTATCAGTAAACGATTATTCAATTAAACAAATATGAAGAAAATAGTCAACAAACCCGCTGGATCACTAAAAGGCACAAAGATATCAGCATCTTTTCCAGTATTCTTTAATCCGAACCTTTCAAGATCATAATTAAAATAATGTTTATTTGGCAATTCATATCTAATAGAATCGATTTGAGAATGTTTTTTCAACACATTTTTGGCCATGAGATATAACGTAGCTTGTACTGATGCACTGTTATGCGTGGCAAATGTGTGTAGAGTAATTTGTTTAATTGATTCAAAAATATCGTTAAAGGGAATTTTCTCAACCGAAGCCATGTTTTGGATATTAAAAGTCCAAGTTGCGTCAACGTTAGTTGAAAGGATGCGATCATATGCCTCTGGAAGGGTTGTATCTATTTATAATAATAAAAATATGTTATACTAAAAGAATAGTGATATATCAAATTTATAAATATGTAATATCATTTATTACTTACATTTGTCTCTCAAGAATCCATAGAATGCAGACCCAGTAGTTTTTAATACTAACAGATTTTTCAATCCAGATTCAATGGTAACACCTTTTCTTGAAAAAACGACTTTGGTATCATGAACATCTTCACCATCTCTATGGAAAGAATGATCATGAAGTTTACCATCAATCAACATTCTAGTCCACTTATGTTTAATAATTGAAATAGTAGCTTTATGTACATGTGAATATGTGGTAATAAAGTGTTTTCCAATTTCCGTAGCAAAAACTTCAATATTTTCAACACAAGATGATTGTTTTGCAAGAATATAAATAGTATTTTTCATTGAATCAGTAGCAACAATCATGGAATTATCAGCTTTAGTATAAGAATCTTCGAATTCGCCGTCCAAAAGCACACGGACCTAATGGTTGAATGAATAAAATAAAACAATTGATCATATCAAAACATATAAAACTTAGATATACTTAAAAACTTACAGTGAGTTCTATGATTTCATGCCATTTTCCTGTTTTAACAACTTTTGCTAAACGAACACGATCCTTTCCATATTCCTGTTCTTTGAGATATACTTCTGACATTGTAGCAAAAGTGTGAGAAATGAAGTTTATCGTATAGCGATATATATGTGTTTATAACCGGATAATTATATGTAACAAGTTTATTTGGCAATTAATATTTCCGTTTCTGACTAAATTTCGCTGGCCAATGAAATTTCGAGATCAAGTGTAACGTGAAAAAAGTTCAAGAAACTAATACAATCCAAAAATTGTCCGTAACTCGAAATTTTGTATATGAAACTGTCTTCTGCGCATTAACAAAAAGTTTTCCTTGAAAAATTTTGGTGTTATTATAGTCCTTCAAAACTGACCCACTTCCAATACCATAACCCTAACCTAATAGCAAAATGTTTTTTCTTAGCGAAATGTTTTTTCTTGGTTTTGCAATAAGATCACATGATGTGCAAAATTTTTTAGATTAGACTCATAGCACATTTTCATTAAGAATAACTAGTGTCAAATGAGGTTCAAATATATTATGTATATGTTGTGAGAATTTTTTAATAAAATTATAATTTTAGAATACATACGTCATAGAATTTATCAGATGCCGATTTGTCATATCTAAAATTTTATAATCTTCTTAAATTATACAAATTTACGAATTTACAGTTTTAAAATTTTCTCTAAACCCTTAGTAAAAATATGCTATACTTCTTAAAACAAACATTGCTGAAGTTGTACGAGTCGAATGGTATTAAGATCATACAAAATACATCATTTCTTATAAAATACCACACCCTTGAAAATTGGTAATTATTTTCCGAGTTGATGAACTTTTAATATAAAAAGTGGATCACTAAAGAGAGCTTTCAGTAAAATGAAACTTTGAAAGGCGGGTGCATTATGAAAATAATATGGAAAGTCAAGAAAACTATTTTATATGAAGTAGATCATTCTTAATTCAAGGCTTTTTATTTAACTTTGTTTGCAAAAAAAATTTTTAATTTTATTATTTCTTAAACTGTTTTTTAGACAAATTTGTCTGGAAATTTCATGATTAATCTGTGAATAAGCTATCAAATTATATTGTATTGTAGTCTAAATAATAGTAGATATGTAGTTAAATTAACAGTTTAAGAAATAATTTTTTTTGACCTAAAGATTAGGTTATGATTTTAGCAGTTAAGTACAATAATATATGAATCTATTATAATGAATTCTTTCTCTGTATTAGTTGTACCAATGATCTCAAATTCTTTTTTGAATTTAATATTCAGTTATGTTTGACAAACTTTTAACCAGTTTATTAATAATATCTGTAGATAAAACATTAGAGTTTTTGTATTCTTCAAGTTCTTTTAGAATTTCTTTTTTAGTATCTGTAGTTATATTTGTTGCATGTTTTTTTCAAGTTGTAGATCTTGAAAGTATATTGGTTTTAGATAATAATTGTAAATTTTTGTTAGTTATTTCAATTTTTATGTTATTATATAACTTTGTTGTTTGCAAAGATTTACAAACTATTTTTATTATCATGTTATTAGTTTTTTTTATTGTTTTTATAAATGTTATATCTGGTATGTCTTATTTTGCCTTTATTAGTAGTACAGTTTTATAAATATTCTGTTTAATGATTTTATTTAATTTTTTTAATATTTTTTTATAAAAGATAAATATTTGTTAATTGTGTAGTTTTTACAAATAAAGTATAAGATTTGAGTTGTTAACTACTAAATGTTAAATTTAATTTATTAATTAGTTTTTATAAAGTTTTATAATAATCTTTAATGGGTCTTTAATTTCTAAACAAAGCCAAACAAACATAAGAAAAAACACAAAAACAGCTCAATAAACTCCATTTTAGACTCTAAGGAAAAAGACTTAGCATACAAAATACAATTACTTTACTTTAACAACAATATAAGTAAAGTCTTGTTAAACAGAAGCTTTTGCTAGTCTTATAGTTTTTTAGAA